CTCATACAGAATATATACAGGCAAAACATCAGTGCTCATTAAATTAATAAATAACTCTTAAAACGAGTACACCACCATACCTGGCATTATTAGAAAGAATTTTTTTTAATGCTCCTCTCTTATTTATTTATTTATTTATTTATTTATTTATTTATTTATTTGGCAGACAGTGTTTTGCCTGCATGTGTGCCTGCTGACCAGAAGAGGGTACCAGATCTCATTACAGATGGTTATGAGCCACCATGTGGTTGCTGGGAATTGAACTCAGGACCTCTGGAAGAGCAGACAGTGCTCTTAACTAACTGGTGAGCCATCTCTCTAGCCTGGAAAGAATTCTTGAAGACAGGAAGCTTCTCATGATTTTATCCTATAATAATGAGCACGATATCTGCTTAGTGTGTACATTTTCAACAAAGACAGTGGAGGGGAGAGAAACACTGCCAAAGAAGTGAATTGTACCTGGTTTTTTGCTGACCTACCTTGTAACTTATGTCCTATCTCAGTAACTGCTTTCTTCCAGCTGACTGTGTTGGAGGCCTGGTATGTGCATTGTTGTTGTGTGTTCCTACTGAAAGCCCACAGCAAGGAGCAGAAGTCAGACAGAGCCTGAGGCCCTAGTCTGGAGCTACACAGAGACTTCTATGTCACAGCCTAGGAGAATCTGGTTTCTTTCTTGCTAAATCAAGCCTGTGTAAATAATGGTCAACAGAGAAGCTGGGCCCTGATGTGCCTTGGGCTCTTAAGTTCAGTAAATTGCCTAGAACAGAATATGATAAAAGTGTTTTTTGTCATTTTTCCCAAAAGGTTTTATTCTTTTCTTTCCTTTTCTCATTTCTTTTCTTTTTGGAGGCAGAGCCTTAGATAGCTCAGGTTGACCTTAGACTCTTTGTGTAGCTGAGGCTGACCCCAAACTTCTGATCTTGTCTCCATTTTCCAAGTGCTGGAATTAACAATTGGCTTCTATCTTCCCCACTTTTATGTGGTACTGGGGATTGAATTCAAAGTTTCATGTATGCTAGGCAAGTACTCTACTAACTGAGCTATATCCTTATTCTCATTTTTTTAATCAAAAATTGTTATTTGTGTGTGTGTGTGTGTGTGTGTGTGTGTGGTGTACCACAGTATGTGTGTGGAGGTCAGAGGACAACTTGATTATGTAGGTTTTCTCTTTTCATCATGTGGCTTCCAGTGATTGAAATTGAAATCAGGTTGGCAGGCTTGGTGATGTCTCACTAACCCCCATTAATTTTTTTTTTTTTTTACAATTCTTTCTTTCTCTCTCTCTCTCTCTCTCTCTCTCTCTCTCTCTCTCTCTCTCCCTCCCTCCCTCCCTCCCTCCCTCCCTCCCTCCCTCTCTCTCTCTCTCTCTCTCTCTCTCTCTCTCTCTGATTGCTCTGGAGCTCACCAAAGCTAACCTCAAATTTATATTAACTCCTGTCTCAGCCTCTCAAGCACTGCTGGTATAAATCACCACACTTGGTTCCAAGCTGTTTCCTGGATGGCCCTAGTGAGGAAATCTTGCATCTCTGGGTCCACTGTAGCAAGGCAATAGGTATAGGGGTCAAGCAGGAGTTAACATTACCAAAGTAGTTTTTGGCTTGCATGGAGGAGGGAAGATAGAATCAGTTATGCTAGGTCTGATACTTGTGCTCACCACCCCAGAGTTGGACACTTGTGTGCTAGGGGAGGGGCCATGATTGGCTGTGGCCTGTTGCTTCCCTGTGATGTGTCAGTTTGCTTCATGTAGACATCTGGCACTCAGGAGGGCAAGAATAAGGAGTTGAATGGTCTGGCTTCAGACCCCAGGGATCTTCAGGGAGTTGTGCTTCCTGGCTCTTATCTTCCTTATCCCATCCAGATTGCTTGATTGTTGCCTTTACCTCCTATTTCAACCTTCAGCAGCCTGGCTTCTGACAAAGAGGAGGGAGTGTAGGGACTATGAAATGACTTGAAGGCATTTACCTTTGCTGCCCTTAAGTCCTCTCTGGAACACAGTGGAGGTGGAGTGAGTGGGTGGGAGGGCCACTGGCCTGGCATTCTGCCTAGACTTCTGTTAATATTTCTGCCTTTCTATGGGTTGTTCCTCTCTCCCAGCTATTAGTAGAGTATGAGCACAGACCCTTCTGTGATTTTGCTTTTCTTGAGACTAGGTCTTGCTGTGTACCCCAGGATCTCCAACTTGAGATCCTCCTGCCTGGCCACCTGATAGCTAGTATCACAGACAAATATCACCACTTCTAAATGATTTTTATTTTATTTGTTTTTGTTTTTTGAGACAGGGTTTCTCTGTGTAGTTCTGGCTGTCCTGGAATTCCTTCTGTAGACCAGGCTGACCTAGAACTCACGAAGATCTGCCTGCTTCTGTCCCCCAAGTGGTGCAATTAAAGGTGTATGCCACTACCACCCAGCTGTTGTATTTTTTTAGTTGAAAAAAATTTTTCCCCCCTCAGGCTGTGGTGGCTCATGCCTTTAATCCTAGCACTTGGGCAGCAGAGGCAGGTGAATTTCTGAGTTCAAGGACAGCTAGGGCTACACAGAGAAATCCTGTCTTGGGAACAAAGAAAATATGGTGCTGGTGAGATGGTTTAGTGGTTAAGAGCACTGTCTGCTCTTTCAGAGGACCTGGCTTCAATTCTAAACACCTACATGGCAGCTTACAACTCTTCATATAACTCCAATTCCAGGGAATTTGATACTCTTACACAGAAACACATGCAGGTGAGACAACAGTGCACATAAAATAAAAATAAATCTTAAAAAAATTCATACTATCTATTTTAATCATGATTCCCCTCCCCCAACTACTCCCAGGTCCTTCCCACACACCCAATAACAACAAAAACAGCCTAAACAAAGTAGTATGAGATGAAAAGTCTAAAAAACATTGAATTTGCTTTGTTTGCCATCTACTGCTGGGCACGAAGGCAAGTGTGATTAATATACTCAGTAGACTCTACTGTCGAAAACTGATTTTTCCTTTGCAAGCAGGCGTTGCAGGTAGCTTCTTGGTTGCAGGTAGCTTCCCTCTCTCAGCACCGGGACCCATCTAGTTTGACAGCTGATTTTATTTAACTTGACTGTTAAAGATACCTTTTGGGGCTGGAGAGATGTCTCAGCCCTTAAGAGCACTGGTTGCTCTTTCCAAAGAGGTGAGTTTATTTCCCAGTACCTATATGATAGCTCATAACTGGCTGCAGCTCCAGAAGACCCAGATGTCCTCTTCTGGCCTTCTGGTACACTGTACCATGTGCTACACTGACATGCATGCAGGCAAAAAAAAAAAAAAAAAAAAAAAAACAGAAAAATCTTTAAACAACACAATTTCATGCCTGCATCATGAATACCAAACATTCCTGAGGCAGAGGCAAGAGGATCTCTTTGAGTTTCAAAGCCTGGTCTATATAGCAGTTTTAGGACAGTCAGGGCTATGTAGAGAGAACCTATTTTACACATAATGAATAAATATAGAACAAAAACTCAAAAGACCTCTTTTCATGTCAACAAGTACAGAATAGATTATAAGGAGTCAGTGAAATTCTGAGTGAATGTGTATTGCTGACATGGTCAAGGACCAAAGACTTGGACCCATGGGAAATTGATAAAGCCTTTCTTCATATGGGTCAGGCTCAGCATGGGCTAAACCTTCCTCCTCTGGTCCAAGTACTAGAATGTTTACTAATGATTGATCAGTGTGGGCAAAAACTAGCAACTGAAGGTTCTTCCTCCCTGTTGTTTACAGCTGAGACTGAGTCCTACAGACTCCTCCACCGAGATTAGCTTCTTCCCTCCTGTGCTGTACCAAATAAAGAGAATGTGTAGCTTGCCTGACCCCAGATTTTCTGTACATATATGTTCTTTCTTCATTCCTTCAGTGTCCCTGGTCAGGGTTCTAGGACCAAGCTTTGTGGGATGCAGCAATGGATGGCTGAATTATTTCACTGAGTGGTTGCATTGTGGTGCATTTATTTCATAATATTTAATTGGTTCATTTCATATTATCAATGCACATACTCTGACCCTTTACTTAATATTTTGAAAGTCCCTGTATCTCTTCCCTCTTGCTTTTATCAATATTATTTCATTCTGTTTGATTCATTGCATAATTTTCTCATTTTTTTATTACCTGCCTCCTTCTAGTAGAATCCAAGCACCAGGCAAATAGTTTTTCTTCCCCTTTTTAGGTATTTCTCAGTACCTGTTTGGAACAGTTCCTCTTATACACATGATGCTTAAGCATTGAGTGGTTGAATGTGCTTTTTATTTGCTATATTCTGGGTATTATGTACACAGTGTGCTTGTATATACATCTCTGTACCAGTGTCTCCTGTCACCTTAGAAGAAATTTTGAGAAATGGAACAGCAGAGTTAAAAGTATATGCACATTTACCACACCAGTTCATGGAGCCAGCTTTCCTCAAGAATGTAACTTTCAAGTGGCATATAGCTATAATCCTAGTCAGGGCATGGAGATAGGAAAATCAAGAATTCTAGGTTAGCCTCTGCACATAGTGGGGTCAAGGCCTTCCAGGGCTACACGAGGTGTTGTCTCAAAAACAAAAACAGAACAAACAAAACACCCCAAGCAAATGGAAGAAAGGTCAAGCTGGGTTAGCCTGGGATGTACAGTGCCATTGAAGCTACTCTTTCTCTAGTTAAGCCAGTCTCAGACATACAAAACCATGTTGTGCTTTCTTTCATGTGTGGTTTCTAGGTTTTATATAGATATATAAAATCATATATGTATGTATAATAAGAGTGGGGTAAGAAATTGGAGGGGAGAGGTGGGGAATGTGCTCATACAGTGTACTTGTATGAAAATGTCCTGTATAACACAGTATCATGTATGATACATATGTTCATTCAAAGTTGTTGATTGTGACCAGGCTAGCCTCCAACTCCTAGAGATCCACCTACTTCTGTCTCCTGAGTGCTTGGGTTAAAGGTGTTCAGGTACCACCATGCCTGGTGGTTTCCCTGTGGTTCTAAGAACACTGAATCTTGTGCCTTCATGTGTTTCTCAGGTGACAGGTAGGAGATATGGTCTGGTAACACCATGCTTCAGAATGTGACGGTGGAGCTAGCCTGCTTGAGACCTTGGGTAAGTCATTTACCTTCCTATGTCCCTCAATTCTTAGTAAGGGAGGGTAATAATGGTAACTATTTGGCTAAGGAAAATGCTTAGACTAGTAACTGAAACGGTCACTTCAGTAGGACTGATTTGTTTTTGTAGTGCTGGCATCCACCCAGGACTTCACATGTACTGGTTTTCACTTCTTTGACAATAAAAAGTTGAATGGAGGTCACATGTTGTCTGAGTTTGTCTTAAACTAAAAGTTTGAGGCTTCCTTGAACTAATCCTTTTGTATCCATCTCACAAGTGCTAAGATTATAGGCCTGCCCCACCATTTCTGTCTTAAGGTTGATCATCTTTACGTATGCAAAGCTGGGCAAGCATGCTATCACTGAACCACATCTCCAGCCTTCTGATTGTTTTACTTATTAACACATACAAACTATAAATTATCCCTTTTGTTTTTCAGTGTTGTTTATGCAGTTATCTTCTGCGTATAGATTTTACATTTTTTGGCATTTAGGTATTTTCCCTTACAGTCTTTTTTGCCATGAGACCAATGTTTAGAAAAAAGTATACTTTCCTATTTTGAAATTATAAAAAATGACTTATTGTTCTTTTGAGTACTATATATATTTAATTTATTAATTTGAATATTTAAATTTCAGCAATTTTTCCTTCTAGAATTTAGATGTCAAGAGTGGTTAAGTCTTGAGTTTTGATATCTCTCTCTCTCCTCTCTCTCTCTCTCTCTCTCTCTCTCTCTTTAGGGCTGGAGAACAGAGGAATAGAATTCAATTCCCAGCATTCATAACCAGTGGCTCCAAGGAACTCAAAGCCCTTTTCTTAGCCTCCTCAAGTACCCACAAACATTTGGCTTACAAACACAGACAGACAGACACACACACAAATAAAAGTAAAAGAAATCTTAAAAACAATTGTTTGTATTTTTGTGCAGTGTTTGTGTATGTAGTTGTGTTTGGCCTGTACTCACTTGTGCCTCTAGAATGTGTGTCATGAGGCTTGGTGGCAGGCACCTTTAGCTGCTGAGCTGTCTCTCCACCTTCTGCCTTTTTCATTTGGGTAAGTGTTTAAATCTTCACTGAAGGAGAAGCAAAAGCAGAATCCTTTTTTGAGGAAGAGTCTTCCTGTGAAGTGCTGGCTGGTTCCACACTTCTCCCTCTATATTCCTTCCTCCTGTCCAGGGCTGGGGTTAGAGGCATATGCAGATGTTCCCCCTTCTCTTTGAACAGCATATCCTGAAACAGATTTCTGTTTCAGAGAATGAGTTTAACATCTGAATGTGGTCAAGAGTATTATAGTTGCTGGCTTGTAACTTGGACTGAGGTAAGGAGACTGCTGTCCGTGGCTGCAGCCTTTTCATGGCTCTGTAAACTTTCTATGCAGACCCTCATAAAGAATTACTTTACAGGGTTCACCCACTCATGTGCATACAATATTCTGCTTTGTTCATAAATAACAGGCTTGGGACATAGCTTAGCAGAAAGCACTGGTCTAGCAAGTCAAGACCCTGGGCTTCATCCCAACATCACAGAAACAGACCAGTGACTATAGCAGACACTTTATCCAGCCTGGATACTGTGGTGAAGGGGTATTGAATGATAATAATCCCACTAGACTCCAATTCTGTCCTTAATACTTGGAATTCGAATTCTAGTTCCAGCAAGTTTCTTGCCTGGACTTAAAATGGAAGAAAAACCCAGATATAATTGTGTAATCTCAGTACAGCTGCTGCTGGCCACAAACAATGAAGGGAAGCTGACCTTCATGTGAAACACTGTATGCAAGGTCCTGATGCACCAGATATATTAGTTACTTCCTCTTGAAGAGGTGCTCTGTCTGGGTTGAGTAGCGCCCTTCAGACATCATGCCTGTTGATAAGAGCCTGTGAATGCAAGTAGTAGATTATCAAGGTTTTTTCCTTATTTTAAGATTGTGTGTGTGTGTCCGTCCGTCCACATGAATGCAGTGCCAGCAGAGTCCAGACAGAGTGTTGGACTCTGGAGTTGGAGTTACAGGTGGTTTGCAGGCTGAAATTGAACTCTAATCCTTGGCAAGGGCAAAAAGTGCTCTTAACCACTGAGTCTCTTCTCCAACTGTGAAATACAGTTTTTGCAGATGTAACTAAGTTAAGATGAATATGGTGGCAGCTCCTGATCCCGTGATGGTGTTCTATGAGACATCAATGGTGATAGAAGCAGGGATTGGGATTTTCCCTGCTGCCATTCACTACTCCAAGGACGACTATCACCAGGAACAAATTCTCCTGCCTTTTCAAGTGTGTCCTTGCTGATTGTAGTCTGTAGTCTCCAGGCTGTGGAATCAGTCTGCTATTTGAAGCCTGACAGTCCGTTAGAGTATCTCTAGAAACTAATGCACACACCATCACCTCTGCACTCTTGATAAGGAAAATGGAGGCCCAAAGACACCAAACATTGGAGATCTCTGTAGTCATTACCTTGCCCTCTGGCTCCTTACTTTTTGCTGGCTGTGCATCTTTATCATGTCACTTCACCTAGTACTAGGTCTCTCTCCACATAGTATATATATATATATATGAGGGTTTTGTCTGCTTGTGTGTATGTGTACCATATGCATCCCTAGTTCCTGTGGAGGTAAGGAGGTGTCAATGGATCCTCTTGAACTAGAGTTATGGGTGAGTGTGAGCTACCATATGGGTGCTAGGAAATGAATCCCAGTAGTCTGCAAGGACAGCAAGTACTCTTATCATGGAACCATCTCTCTAGGCCCCATAGCTCTGCCCTTAACTTTTCCTTCCCATGCACTATCAGAGAAATGTGACAAGGTGGTCCCACTGTCCTTCTTTCTGGAATTTTTTTTTTTTTTTTTTTAGAGCTTCCCATTTTGGCCTACTGTGTCTTCTAGACTCTTGTCCCCACAGCACATGCCATTTATTCTTTGGAGCTTTCAGGATGGTGCAGGTAGCCTACAGCTACAGCTGTAAGTAGAGAAGGAACTGCTTTCTGGCAGCACTGTGTGTACAGAGGTGGAAGAGGTGGTGGCTTTGCTGCTGGAGGAAGCTAGTCCCCGCTCAGCTCCTGACTTGCTAGTGGCTTTCCTGGGAATCTATTGTTGGTAGTGACACCAAGGCTATCCTTGGTTTAGACTGCTGGCTTTGGATCCTGCTTTCATCACAGTGGGAATTCTAGAAATGCTACATTGGTTTTGTTTCTTCCTGTATCCTGTGTCTAGGCAAAGGCCTGGCACTTACCAACACCCTTAAGAAATGTTTATTGAGGAGCTAGAGCAATGGCTCAGTAGTTAGGAGCATTGGCTGCTCTTCTAGAGGACCCAGGTCCTTCCTAGAAGACACTCTCTTCTCGTCTTCACAGGTTCTGCATAGCATTCATGCAAGCAAAACACTCATACACCTAAAATTTAAAAATGAAAAACAAATAAAACAATACCTTCTGCTGGGTAACCCCACCTGGCCCTGGCCCTGGCCCTCTGCTGCTTAGACTTTCATTCTTTTTTGTACCACTTGCTGAACTTTTACACTCCAAGATGCAGTCATCTCCTGAGCCTTCAGGCTGGGCCAGTAATTCTGGCTCTCGGGACATGCCAGAAAAGTGATACAGAACATAGGCATGGCTGCAAAATACCTCTTGCTGTGCCCACATGAGTTGTGGTTTGTAGTCAATATAATATTGTTCAGTTGATTATGTCCAGACCAGTTTTGGCCATAATGACTTGCTTTCTGCAATCCTGTATATGGAAAGCCTAGAAACTTCCCTGAGATGGCCCTTCCTAGATCACTCAGAGTGGTCAAGATGGAGGATCATCCTGCTTCCTGCATACTGGGCCTCATTGAGGTCATATTATGAAAGAATGATTTGATACTGGAAGTGGGGCCCAGGCCTCCCAAAGACTTGTGCAAGACTCTGACTATAGCCCGGTCCTGTTAGAACTTTGGGTTGAAAAACTCCCAGGAAAACAGTACTGCAGTACTTCTGGCTAGAGCAGGAGGAGCTGCCTCCTGAGGTCACTCTGGACCTGTTGCTGACTTGAGTTGTGACAGCTAGCAGTCTGAGTTGACGTACTGTGACTCTGATTCTTTTCCAGCTCAGAGTTGTGGAAACTTGGCTTGCAGAGAAGGAGGTGACACTCATGTCTTCATCTTCTGGGGAAGCCTCATCAGTGTACATCCTTTCTTTTGTTCAAAATTTCAACTTCTTTTTACATCTATTTCTACTTGTCTGTTTTTGAGACAGGATCTTACATAGCAAACCTGAGTTTGCTATGTAGATGAAGATTGCTTTGAATTTTTGATACTTCTACTTCTGCCTCCCCAATGCTGAGGTTATAGCCATGTGCCACCATGCCCTGTTTTTGCAGCGCTGGGGATGGGTTTTGTGTATGCTAGACAAGTGCCTACCAACTGAGCTTCCCACCTTTGTTAAATACTGGAACTTTTTCACAGAGTTAATATTGGAACCAAAGTGGTGTTCACTCCTGCAAGGGAAAGGAAGAAACTTTGATAGGGGTTGCAAAAAGGACAAGAAAGTTAGTAGGTTACACAACTTGGCTTGGAGAGTAGAGAGGTTGGGGTACTAAGGCCTCTTGTATCCTATCATTTGACACCCTCAAACTGTTCTCTCTGCTAGCCTAAGGCAAGGGCACTGTAGACAAGGAAGAGCAGATGGGAAGAACAAACTCATGTTCTCCTTGGCCAAGACTGTCCACATTACCTTTCATATACTATTGAGTTGTAATTCAAGCCATAGAGCAGTGGTCCTCAACCTTCCTAATGCTCAGCTTTTAATACAGTTCCTCATGGTGTGATCCCCAACATAAAACTATTTTGTTGTAGCCGGGCAATGGTGGTTCACACCTTTAATCCCAGCACTGGGGAGGCAGATGCAGGCAGATCTCTGTGAATTCGAGGCCAGCCTATTAATGAATTATAATGTAAATATCTGAGTTTTCTGATGGTCTTAGGCAACCCCTGTGAGAGGGTTGTTTGATCCCCAAAGAGGCCTCTACCCACAAGCTGAAAACCACTGCCTTAGACTGTCCTGCTGTTGAGTGGGCTGAACACAAAAGAGCTGTGTGCCTTGCTCAAGGTCATACAACTAGTAAAAGCTAAGATAGAACTGGGTTCTGGTTTGGCCAGCTCCAAAGCCTTAGCTGTTGCCCAGAGCTTTGTCTCTGGTGAGATTCAAGAAAGGAGGCTGGGGAGTCATGGTAAGATACCATCTTTCTCTACCTCACAGTTTTGCCAGTAGCAACCTGTTCAGCCAGTGCATCTTCTTTATACCTCTGCATAGCCCACAAGTGTTGAAATCCAATGGCTGACTGGCTTATGGCTTAATGGCCCTGTTACGTCTCACTTGAAGTCTGTTGTGTCCCAGATAATGCAGCAGAGAGGGTGTGGTGTGCCACACTGTCTGGGCTGGAGCCAGCCACACCTGTCCTGTGACTGTTAAAGTGAATTGTCCCTGAGTAAACAAGGCTGGTGCTCTTTTGCCTTTCTGAGGAAGACCAGATGGTTGTGGGTGATGGCACAGGTCCAAGGGGTCCTGGCCCTGGGCCTACAAAGGAGACAGCTAGAGGGTGCCAGGTGATAGGATAAAGAGAGGGCTGGTTTGACTTCAGAGGGACCAAGAATGTCCTTTTGTTAGTGCTTGAAATGCTTTCAATTTAATTTGCGCACGTGTGTGTGTGTGTGTGTGTGTGTGTGCGCGCGCGTGCATGTGTGCTTGCATGTGCCCTTGTGTCCCTGTGTATGTTGGAGTGTTAGAGATTGAACCTAGGGTCACTCCTAGTTAAGCATTCCATCACTAAGCTGCATGCTCAGCCCTCTTTTTACTTTTTGTTTTGATACAGAGTTCCATGGCTTTGCCCTTGTGACCCTCCTTCCT